CATGTTTGGCATGAAGATCAAGTATTTTTTGTGACTCTTCTGTCATATAATTTTTTAAATATTTTATTAAATGGATTTCATGTTTAACTGCGTAGAGTATCAGATATTTACATATTATCTTCAAACATATCAGGTATAAAACTAATGTTTTGTTTTGTTTTTTTAAGAGTGTTTTTATTCTAATTATGTTACTTTTTTTTTTGCAGTTTTTGGCCGGGACTGGGTTTGAACCCGCCACCTCTGGCATATGGGCCTGGCACCCTACTCCTTTGAGCCACAGATACCAAACTAATGTTTGTTAAGTGGGTTCCTATGAATCGGTGGCAAGTAGCAAAGTAAAACTACAAAGTCATGGAGACTCTATGGATATGGCTGTTTCTACAGGAAGTTTTGGCATCACATGCAATAAAATAGAAACTATTTCCAGAAAAATATTTTTGTTATTATCATGGTATGAAAATAATTCATATTTACATTGTATTTTATAAATGTTTGGTTATAGTTTCTTATTTTATATTTGCTGCAAAATAAAAATAAGTATTTATTTCATATAATTTAAATGATAGGTTGTTGATCTAGATAACATGCATTCACTTTATGTGTATATTTTGATGACTTTTTGACAAATTTATACACTTGTGTAAAAGTCATGACAATTGGAATATGGCATATTTTCACCATCATCAAAATTGTACTATTTTCCACATCATATAATTCTGACCTATCCTGGAACTGAGAAGTTATTGGTCTGTTTTGCTTTCTGTCACTATGTGTTAGATTTTTTTCTTCTGGAGTTTTATATACACAGAATTAAATGGAAGATACTCTTGTTATGGCTGCTGTGGCTCAGCATGATGTTTTGAGGCTTCCCCATGTTGTCTTTGTTAATAGCCCACTCAGATTTTTCTATTCATCTCTTGATGGAAAGTTTGTGTTGTAAAGATTTACCAACATACAGGTATTCGTGAGAACATGCTTTGTTGAGTAGGAAAGAGGAGGTGAGAGGAGGAATACATGTGTATTTGTCAGGGTTCTTCAGTGGAACAAAACTGATTGTGTGTGTATATGTGTGTGTGTGTGCAAGAGAGAGAGAGAGAGAGATTAATTTTAAGAAATTGTCTCATTTGACTGTAGTGGCAGACTGGAGGTTCAGGGAAGAGTTGATCTTGAAACTCAAGTCAAAGGCAATCAGGAGGAAGAATTCCTTCTTCCTTAGGAGACCTCAGTCTTTTTTTAAGACCTTCAATTGGTTGAATGAGGCCAACTCACATTATAGGATTAATATGCTTTACCCAATGCCTACTGATTTAAAAGTTAGTATCATCTAAACAGTACTTTATAGCAATATTCAAACTGGTGTTTAAAAATATCTGTGCATTGTAGTATAGCCAAATTGACATATAATTAACCCTTATAAGCTGCATTACCTTTTCCACCAAAAGTACTATAGCACTAATGTAAATAATTAATAGTTAAATTAAATGCCCCACATTATAGTTATAATATTTAGGTCATCCCAGGAAGTCTACAAAAAATCTTGATGCTGACTGGCCATCAAGAAAGCAGAGCAGGGTGGATAAGGGTAGAAAGTGTGTAACTATTTTGTATAATCCCATTGCCTTTCTCCTTTACTTTCTAATACACAATTGAGCTTCAACTAAATGTTTTTAAAAACAACAAAGTGTTTTTTAGTGTTTTTAATGGTTTCAGTGTTTACATTTAGGAATCACACTATCCATTCTAGATTAGAATTTAAACTTCATCCTTTGCGGGTCCTCATTTTCCTAGTATTCCCCAAACTATTTTCAACAATGTATACCCAGGTGTGTACTAAGTCTCATGGATGTGATGCTAAAGAAGGGTTCCTGTAAAGAAGATTAAATGCACATTGAAATAATATTCAATTCAAGACAATATGTTTATTTGATAGTAATAAATAAACTAAAGATGTTAAAGGTCTTAAAATTGTAGGAAATAGTTAATAAGAACCATATATTAGAGTTGATATTGGACAAAAATATTTTAAAAGATATGGAAATATTAATTTAATGTCAATTAAAACCAAAAGGTCAAGTAATGTGGTATTTTAGAATGAGAAGAGAAGTAGAATGTTTCAACTTGCATCAGAAGAATGCCTAGTTGGAATCCTGTATAATGAAATAGGTAAGTAAGTATCTTATTTCAAGGATGGGGATGTCAATAGGATCCATCTTTCTAAAAGAAAAATCTTGATTCACTTTTCCCCATTAACTATTGAAATACCAGTGAGAAGGGAGAAAAAGGCAGGAATCATAATTAGAAGTTGATGTACTAGGTTATAGAGAAATGAGTATATGTAAATTGTAGTATTAAGACTCAGAGAAATAGAATGAAAAAGGAGCATGTGTTTTCATCCTAGCTTTTCTATTTACTGTCAAAAAGTCAATACCTATTATCTGTGATTATGACTGTGATATTTAAACGTTATTCTATAAGCATCTCATTGTAAATATTGTTTTGGAATATATAATTTTTTTCTATTCTGGAAATTTCCCTAGAGTTTTACCCTAGCTTGTGGTTGACCTTTTCTAAGAATGCCAATCAAAATTGGAGATGCACTGAAGTCCACCTTAACAGAGCATACCCCAAGAGAGAGATTGCCATAGTTCCATTAATTTTTTCAGTTTTTATTTCAGAATATTAACAGGGTAAAAATGCATTGGTTACATAAATTGCTTTTGTACCAGTGGGTCAAAGTTTTAAATGTGCCCATGATCCAGATAGTGCGCATTGTACCCATTAGGTGGGAATTTCCCCATTCCCTGCTCCTCTTCCTCCCACCTACTTGAGTTTTGATGAGTTTTATTTCCATATGTGCATATAAGATTGATTAGTTTCAATTTAACAGTAAGTACATATAGTGTGTGTTTGTCCATTCTTCTGAATTTTAATATTATTTCAATCAATCAGATTACTCTAATAATGGGCCAAGTTTTTGAGGACAACACTGTTTTTGACATATATTTAGGGGATTCCTCCCTCTCTTAAAAAGGGAGAAAACTTTGACAATCATACTTAATCATTTTGTTTAAGCTGTTACACAGACAAGCTTTACATTTTGGTCACTGGTTAACTAGAAAGGCTACTGTTTTTGCCATATATTTAGGGGATTCCTCCCCCTCTTAAAAAGGGAGAAAACTTTGACAATTGTACTTAATCATTTTGTTTAAACTGTTACACAGACAAGCTTTACATTTTGGTCACTGGTTAACTAGAAAGGCTAACAGAAGGTTAGGTTAACAGAAAGAATGTACATGGGTATGTACAAAGGTTAACAGAAGTAGACCACAATGTTTACCTTCACTTGCCCATAGCTTTTTTTTTTTCTTCTTCTTACTTTCTTTTATGTCTACTTGTGATCCTTAGGTTGAGCTACTCAGCCCTTTAACTCTCTCCAGAGTATCTTTTTAATAGTGTTCCTTGAAGTATTGAACTTACTAGCTTATCTATTCCATTTAATGAATTATACTTAGTAAGATGAGTATGTAGCAACTTAGACATTGTATAGACCACAAAATACAAATTAAGCTAAGTAAAATCAACTTTCTTTTTGCCTTCATCTTATGATTTCCCCAATACATATAAGAAAATCCTTTATCATTATCTTTCTTTTTTTTT